AACCAGGAGAGAACAGAGTCTCAAATGCCAAGAGAGTGGAGTTGATGGTCAACAGTATCAAAAGCCACAGCAAGATCTAGTAGTAAAAGTACGGAGTAGTGGCTACTGGTTTTAGCAGTTAGTAAATCATTAGTGCATTTTAGTAGGGCAGTTTCAATGGAGTGTAGTAAGTGAAAGCCAGACTGTAAGGGGGTCAAGAAGTTTGCGGTCAGTGAGGTTGTTAGCAAGATAGGTCAGACGATTGTGTTCTAAATGTTTAGAGGTAAACAGGAGCGGGAGATGGGTCCTAAGTTGTTCAGGTTTGTGGGGTCCAGTGAGGGCTTTTAAGTATGGGGGTGATCAGCACATGCTTTAGAGGAGGGGAAGGTGTCAGTAGAGCTTAAAGATGCAAGGCAGCATAGGATAAAAGGTGGGCTTCTGAGAAAACTTAGTGGCCTCTTTGGTAGTAGCAAGGTCAAAAGAGGAAAGTGTTGAGGGTGGTTTTGTATAGGGTATGCTAAGTGGGATAGATATCTGTGCAGTGGAGATACCCCCACAAATTGCATCAATCTTGTTTTGCAAATGATTGGCAATCTCATGAGCAGTGAGTTACTGGGTGGGGGTGGAGAAAGTAGAGAGTTAAAAGAAGAGAGGATGAGGACTGGATGACAAGGTAAGAGTGACAAGAGTGGATTGTTTGGCAGCAGGAAGGGAGGATTTGTATTTGAAGGCAGCTTTATATAGGATGAATGCTTGCTGGGATTTGGTTTTACACCACAATCATTACAGTGCATGGCTATGTCTCTTAAGATTTCTGGTGCCGTCAGTCTGCCACGGTTGTAATGGTCGGGGCGTGATACTCCGTGTAGTTAGAGGAGCAAGTGAGTCAAGTGTGGATGAAAGCGAACTGTTGTAGACAGCAGTGGCCAGGTCAGGTGATGAGGCTCTTGGCAAAGGATGAAGTGACTATTCAGCAAAATAGGGGTAATGGTTTCCCTTTGTAACAAGCCCAGCCATTTTAGTGAAAGAACAAACAAACACACAAAATAACTGCAATGAATATGGATTTTATCAAGTTTTATTTCTGCGTTTAATATACCATCTTGTGAGGATAAAGTTGGTCCTCTAAATGTTAAGGGATACACATGACATTATCTCATCACATAAGGTCCAGCAACTCAGGTGTTATTCACAGTTATGACTTTTTTTAACGCAACAATATGAAATTTTGCAAACGCTTCCCACCCCCCAGGTTTCCCCCCCCTCCCTCCCCCCCAATTCCTCCCCCTCCCCTCCCAATTACCCCCCCCCCCCTCCCTCCCTCCCAACACACACACACACAAAATATATCAATGCATATGCTTTGTTTTATTTCTGTGTGTATATCAGGTCACAATATGACAATTTGTTAGTATTGATTCATTAAGTAGGATGGATTTCCCAGGATGATATACAGAAAACCCCATAACAGTACTAACAGTCTTGTTACAAAGCAACTTGAATCTAAACTTGAAAGGAGTGTTGCCACCTTCAGATGGCTTAAAGTGTATCTCAAGCCAAAACATTTTTTCTTTTGTTTAAGGTAGATTGAGTAGAGATAATCCCTGTCAGGTCTTTGTTGCTGTGTCTCACTGGTGAGATTCATTGTTCATTAATGTATTGTCCATTGAAGAGATGGACAGATGGTGAAGAGAAACCTGAAATGTTACAAATTCTCACCAGAACAGGAATATTAGTAAAATCTTTGGCTTGTAACATCTGTTCCAATGACAACCACCTAAATCTAGCCATAGATGGCTTGAATTTCGGCCAATCCCTGCTGAATGTCAAAATTCAAGCCATGGCTGGCCCTGCAAGTGCCACCTTGCTTGATAAAGGGCAATTTAAAATTCAACTGATACTACCAAACAGCAACTACATCCTACCAGATGCAGTCACTGTTTGGCAGCGTCACTAAATATAGTTCGCAGTGGATGTTGTGAGTACTGAATACAATAGCCAGCAGTAGAGATTCCTCAATCCACACCGTTTACCATGGCTGGGGAAATCAATTGATTTTCTCTCATTGCTGGGGGTTGACTGAGAGAAAATCAAATAATGTATAGCTAGCTTTAGAGTTCTCACATGTCAGGTTGTATCTGAGACAGGAATTGGTAGAAAATCTGCCCAAAGAGACACGGACAGCAAAAAATAATCTTGACTAGGGTTTCTATATCTTATCCTTTTGACTTTAGATATATTTTTAACTCTTGTAACTCTTACTAAACATGGTTTTATTCCCTAGCTTTGTTCTATATTTATATACTTTTTATCCTGAAAAATTGTCTATTTCCTTCTCCGTGGGAGCTCTTGCTTTAGATTCCAGTGTATTAATAGAGCTTCTTCAAGGGAGTATCCCATGACAAGGGAAATAAGTAAAAAAAAAAAAAAAAAAAAAATAAAAAAGCAATCCCATATAGATTTTTTTTGTAGGTTTTTTTAGGTTGCAGGCGTATGATGTATACAGCACACCCAAACATTTCAGATGAAACACATCAAGAAAAAAAAGAACTGGTTTCTGTAATAACTGAAAGCAAACCAGCTGTAAAATTAAAATGTTTTAAAATGACCCAAGACTGGGCTAAGTATGGAGGGTTCCAAATTTATGAAATGGTAAAATGCATTTACTCATAATTTGCATGAAAAGAAAAATTATGAGCAGGGAAGGATATGCAACTTAAAAACAGTACTTTGGCAATTGTTGAATGAATACTTCTGAACTGGGGAAACTAAGGCTGGGGGGGGGGCATAGACTGTTTGAATTTTGGTTGTTCAGCCTTTGAGACACAAGAGAAAAAAAAAAAAAAAAAAAAAAAGCACTTGATTCGATATCAATTCTGGATGGCCATTGTATCCAGGCAGCTGCAGGTCCTGCGGCTGTTTGTGCTACCAAACAGTGGCCACATCCGATAGGACACAGCCACTGTTCGGTTGATAAATTTTCCACCTGGCTCAGTCGATTTGTAAATCAACTTTTGTCAGGATGGGTAGTGCTTGCAAGATCACTGACAGTTTGAATGCTAAATTGGACAAAATTTAGGCCATCAATGGGGCTTCAATGCCTTCATTTCTGTAAACTAGCTAATAGAAAACCCACGCTGCTGCTTACAAATTAGATTTTAGACATTATCTCCCAATGGAAGGGAACAGTTCAAACTCCTAGATTAATGGAAATGGTAGTTGGGAATTATGGCAGAAAGATCTCACCTTTGGAGTTTCCAAGGCATGTTAAAAAAAAAAAAAAAAAAATAAAAAAAAAAAAAAAAAAAAAAAAAAATCAGTAAAACAGCCCTGGGCCCCCTAGTGTATTGATATTTGCCCAATAATTTCAACAAGAAGTTTTGAACCAGTACATTTCCTTGCCCCAGGGTAAATGAGGAGCCGAAATGAACAAACGCTTTAGTACAATAAGGATTAAAGTGACTTGGGGACATTAAGTTACCAGCTTAGCTGATTGAGAAGGCAGTTTGCACATAAAAACATCTAAAAGTGACTATTCTTGACTTTAGGTCAAATAATTTTAATTAACTTATTTTAGAGTCTGATCTAGCTAAAGTAAAATAAACAAACATGACAGACATTAACCCATTAGAATGTAAATTTGGGGGAAGAGTTAGGAAACCCTGTTAAGGTAACAAATTTAGTGGGTTACGTAGACCTGATGCCTCAACATTATGGTAGCCATTTTATATGCCTAAACTATATTTAAAGGAATGTAGCCTAGGTCCCAGCTGCTTTTTCATGAATAATGTATCTGCCTGAGAAATAGCTGCCAGAAATGGCCCCTTAATGTTGGCTCAGAAACAGCATCTACAATGTGGTGTTTCACAAAGCCAACTTTTTACTGAACAGAAGGGGGCAACAGTGAGTTAGTGAGTGTAAAACATACAATGGACATGGTAGGGGTTAGGGTGGGGTATGGTGGGGTGGGGAAGAGTGGGTCAGGGGCTAACTCCAGTCTACCTTATGCCACGCTCACAAACTGCAAGATACCACAGTGCCCCCTAACGTCAGAATAGAAGTTAGCATGTGCTGTTGCTGGATTGTTAGTCAATGACCTGATTTTTTGGCTTTTCAAGGGATACAGTCATAACAGACAGCATCAAAGGTCTATCCCAAAACCAGAAATGTGTCTACAATCCAAAAAAGCTGCCAAAACCACAAGATGTTACTGGATACTATATATAAACTATGTGGTAATTTAATATGACCAGATACTAGATTTAATATATTTTGTTGTCCATAAATACTTTGCCCTCCTCTGTGTCCCTCTTTGATATAGTTTCACTTTATAACTGGAGCCCAGCTCTCCTGTCTTCATGATTAAGCCAGTCCTACTGCCATTCTACTCTCCAACTGTCCAGTAGGGGCACTTTCACTTAACAGGAAGACAGCAGTCAGTGCCATTAAATCAAGTTCTTGTATTTTAAGTGAAACAAAATTAAAGAGGGGCACAGAGGAAGTATTTCTGGGTATATACCAGCACCGGTGGTATAGTATCTGGTTTGGCAGAATTTTTGCATTGTATTGGTTTAAGGATGGCAAAAAATGGAGGATAGGATAATAATGATATGGAGAATTTAGCAATCAATCAAAATGCTGAATTAATCAAGCTCAGAAACCGTTAGTCACCAATATTGCTCTTTTGCATTGCCCCTCTGAAAATGCTCGTATGACAGTACCCCTGAAGAATAGATTGGAAGGTTTGATGGAACCCTAATGCACTAAAAGGTAAGATTTTGAAAATGTTTCAGATGTACGCTGTATTAATCAAACTTAAAAACTAGTAACAGCAATCCATGCAGAGTGGACGATAATCATTCTCAATCTGAACTCATTTTATCTTTAGGTAAGAATATGACCAACATGAACCAAAATTAAAGATTTACCAGCAGTGATATTTTTTGCCTACCCCCAACCCTGCCTCCCCATTTCTTAAGAACATGAAACAGAAAAATGGTAATCTTTGCTATGAATGAGTTTTAAGTGGCATGATTCGCTATGGCCATTCCATGAGGCATGCCCTGGGGGTAGACCTCGGATTTAAGAAAAGTGGGTGCGTAAAGTGCAGGATTGGAGCCCAGGGATGTTGGGGCAAAACCTTGAGTTGCCATCACCTGCGGCATGGCAAAAGGCCCCGCGTTTGAAGGTGAGAGGGATTGGACAACATTGTAAGCTGCTCTGCCATTTTCCCTTAGGTAGGGGTGCACCTGCCGTTTTCCTTTCTGCCGGCGGTTACAAAACCAGACTCGGATTACCTGTGAACAGATGAACACATGGTTAAAAAGTTAAATGTTAAAATAAAAGGATCTATAATAATGATTCTAATAGTTTGACGCATAGGCAACTTGGTAAAATTTTTTGGAGATGAGAAAAAAAACCAAACTGTAAAATAAGCTTTTAAGGGGGAATATACACCAAAAATGGTTACAGATATCTCACAGGGATGTCAGTGGTAGAATTCCTGTGCTTGAGTTCCCTAGCCTGCCTCAGCCATTATGAGGATCCCACTGTTATTTGGTCAATTGCATATTACAGATGATGCACCAGGAGGGGGGCATTCTAATGTGCAGAAGTATACATAAAACTCCAAGCTGGACAGGAAAGAGTTGGGAACTATAACAGGAGATCGGTTTTATAGAACACCTTCCTCTTTATAGCAAATGTGAACATATATTCAGTCCCAGTGCCTTCTGCCATGGTTCATTTTACTTGCTCAAAATCCAGGTCTGTACCATATCCAGCTTTAAAGAACACTATTGGATTAAAAAATGTGACTTTGGATTAAATTTATCATCATTAATATCATCAATAGCAAGACTAATACCCCTCCCACCAGCTCTATCCTCCTCTGATGCTATGACAATAGCCTAAATATTGAACAGCCCTTAGAGCTGAAACAACTCAGCAGAGCTCAAAGTAGAACTAATACAAAACTTTAGTTTCATTTTGGATAGGATAAAGGAGGTATTTAACCCCTCAATGTTTTTGACATTGGTAAGGTATGGTAAAAGCATAAGAGTTGTGATGCCATAGTTAGATCAACATACAACAGTAGAATAATTAAACTAAGTATACTTACATCCTTATCCATCTTCAGCTCCCTGGCAATATGGGCTATCTCTTGTGCACCAGGCTTTGAGCAGTGCACGAAATAATTCTCCAAAATGCGTTTGACATTGTTCTCAATGCTGGTTCGATGCTTTCGCTTCTGAGTTTGAGGTGAAATTTGTCCCCGACTGAGTAGCTAAGGAGTCAAAGAGAAGAGTGTTATGGATGCGTATTGGATCCTCCTTTCCACATTCTAAAACCTGCACCAACTATGCAAGAGCTTAGTAAAATAGGAGTGGCTGTTCAAACTCCAGCGTTCCTTGCAAAAGCGGAATGAGGGTGCATAAGTATTCTGCAATTGGCACTTAAAAGTGGTTCATGGGTGTTTGCTATCACACACAGATTTTCTTCTTTTCTATAGAGAAAAGGCATGGGATTGCCACTACATATGTCTCATTTACTCATTGACCGAGTTGGGGATGACATGTTGGGTTGTCTTGGCGATGCTGAAATGCACTGGAACCAGTAGGCTTCTCATGAAACACAAATGCTCCTGCGCTTGGGGATGGACTCGATGCAGGCTACAACCACATTAAGAATGTCCTGGAACATGCACACCTTGCTGCCCTCAAATGGACCGGGGGAATCCAAATATACTGAATTGGGAAAGAACAAAGAGGGCGCACAGGCCACTAGGGCGAGTAGGCATTACCATAAAAAATGTCTAATAAAAAATAAAGTAGGTGTTGTACTCACAAACGACAATATAGTCAAGGCACACCATAAAAGAACAGCTGGGTCAACACCGCGCTGAGTAACAGTGTGCAATAGGGAGTTTAGACATCCAAAATTCTGACGCGTTTCGAGGACTTGCCTCTTCCTCAGAGTAGGGTTCTCATGTTTGTGGAACGCCAGTATGGCTGCCACACAGGGGCATAAGAGAATAACTATCAGGCATGCTAAATCGCTGCCATTTTCCATTATTACCCATTAATTTACCATTTACACCATTTGTAGGTTCAGCCAAGCTTGGCACTGCTCAAGAGTCTTTAAATAAAAAAAAAAAAAAAAAAAAAAAAGGGGATCTTGCCAGCCGAGTTCATCTACCAGACTCGACCAAATGCTAAAATATCAGTTTTGGATAACTTTACTCTTCCACATTGTGATAAAAAGACCTTTTCTTAACCCATTGATGATGTAGTTACCTCATGTATCTTGTCGTTTGTCTCCACTTCATGTTGCCACCTGCGTAGTAGCGGTTTCAGCTTGCACATGTTTTTAAAGCTTAGCTGTAGAGACTCAAATCGGCAGACGGTCGTCTGACTAAATGTTTTACCTATGCGAGAGAAGAGAATAGGGGAAAAAAAAAAAAAAAAAAAAAAAAAAAAAAAGTTTCAGTTTCAAACAGACTCAAACAATGCTCTCTGGCAGGGTCTTCTAGAATTATTTATAGGAAACCTTACCAAAAAAAAGTCCTAGGGCATAACCCACGTCTGCTTGTGTGAAGCCCAGAGTGATCCGCTTGTGTTTCAAATCTCGTGCAAATTGTTCCATCTCAGCAGTTGTTGTTACTTCCTGCGTAAAGTTATAAAAGCAAGTTACAAAATTGAAAACTATTTAGAATAGATGAAGCAAACAAACTGTATATTAACAAAACAAAATACTGAAGACGACCACACATAAGATGGGCACAGCAATCAGCAAAGGAAGTAAAAAAGTCAAACATTTTTTAGAATCCATGTTTTGGGAATGCAGGCTGCAGAAAGGACAATTAACTTGTCCCGTTATGAACAAAATGAAAATGTAATTTTCAGCTTTAACATTCTAACCTGAGGGTAATATGAGCCACACCTGACTAAGCATTATATTGGTAGATTCAGGTGCAGTTTTATGTGATGACCTCTATAAACAGAAATATTGATCATAGCATGGGATGCTGTACAATGAACAACTTTAGCTCTGAGAGCAGAGGACAACGATCTCAGGAGCTAATGACGTTGTGAACACCTGCAAAAACAGTTTATTTATAAATGGGTCTTTTTACGTAAATGTTACTTTAATATAACACAATCAAGTGCTCAGTGAAACACAAGAAAATAAAGTCAGGGGGCTCAAAATAGGATGGTGTTATGTTAGTATAAGAAAATCAGGTGTTTAGATGGAAACATTTTAATAAAGGGAATCCAAGCCAAGTAGAAGGCCATCAACAACATAAGCGTACAAAAAGATGGAGGCACGTTAACAAAAAATGTTAGGGGCTAGAATAGCAAGGATGGCTTCTGACTAAAAAACTGCATAGGAAATTAAAAACAGAAGCATTGTTTAATATGGGGTGCCATCAAACAAAGAACGACAGTCAAATAAAGATAAAGTGGTCCATTGAGCCTGTCCCCCATTTTTTTTTTTGTCCGAGTATAGATCTATGTTTGAATACACTTACTGTTGATGGACTTACTATTGTTGCTGGAAGTCTAGTTCAGGCATCAGTTAGTTTTGAACTTGCCTCCTACTACTGCTCAAGTCATGGAGTCAACATATCACAATTTAAGCATAATAAACTCCAAGTAGCTTATGACCACACAGACTGTCCAACTAGATAAATCAAAATATACATTAACAATTGTTAATTAAACAACAGAATTTCCTCAATTTATTGGGTTCAAAAGCTCAAAATGAGATTTTTTAGGCAACATTAGTGAAACTCTTTAGAAAAACTGTAGACTACCCATAAAGTTCTCATTGTGAGGTTTTCCTGATACAGCATGATTGTATAGTACCCATAAGGTAAAGTTCATCTATAAACCTTATTAAGGATTAAAAAAAAAGTAAAAACAATGATACTTGCCCTATGATAGAATGCTTCAGTCAACACAAAATGGATTCATGGAATTTCAATTCAGAGGCTCATTATAAAGTGAATTCAAACAAATGCACATACAAATGTTGTCAGCTGAATTCAGTCTACAAGATTAGGAGTTCAGTACAGCACTGAGTCTGTTATACACAGGATCAGGAGCCTAAAAGTACAATAGGGTGGCTATAGTCTGCCAAAGCAGGAATATCTACAAGGTTAAATATAGCAAAAGTTCAAAACAAAAATTTATATAAAATCATTAGCTTATTGTTGGATGTAATTATATAATCTATAAAGGCATAAACATCAAAAAAGATGCGATCACTTAAGACAACTTGTGGAGCACAGCAAACTTTGATTCAAGTATTTTACACTTCTCTAGCTAGGCTGAATATTTGTTCCTTCTATAAATCCCAGGAGTTGTGGTCCACAGGAAGTCTCCTGGACAACCTTGGATAATATTGTCTAAGATAGAAAAATCCACCCCAAACAAAACCGAATCCCCAAAAATGAGGGATTCCCTGCAGCCTACAAGACTTCAGTTCGAGGTGGATTCTGCTAAATCTATGAATTCCTGGGTCTCAAAAAAAAATGTCACCTAAACATGTAGGTTCATATTTTCAGACGCTGGAATACAAAGTAGCAAATAGACTTCTATTTGTGCTTTATAAGAGATATTAGAAATATGGAAGTGAACACACCGCAGACCTGGAGAGATATCGGGCACTTACCTCCTCAAGGTCGCTGAAGTATTCCAAAATGCCCTTGTAGGGAATCCTCCGGGGCGTGACCTTCTTCTGCACAATGTGGACTGGGCTTGTTGAACCACTACGTTTGCTTTTAGCCACGCTGGAGATTCCACTTTTTTCCGCGGAGTTCTGGTTCTCGACATACTGCTGGGCCGGAATGGGTTTCACGCTGGCTTGGGGCTTGTTGACCATGTTGGTGGTCGGGCTTGGCCAGTAGGTGCCTCCGTTCCAAGCCGGGGCATAGTAGGGTGCGCCCATGGAATTGGGTGGCTGCGTGTTGAGTGTAGCGGTTTGGTTTAATTCTTTTATCACAGGCTCCGGATCAATTTCATTCTTCGGGTTCCTCTTCACTTCTCCTGCGATGGACATCAGCTCTCTTCCCTGTTGGTCGTCACCGATAATCATCTGGATGATCGAATCCATCTGTGCCAGTTGGTTCCAGGGCAACGCCTGTGCCGAATAGTCGCCCACACCCTGGAAACCGAGGTCTACATAATCTGACTTGACTGTGGGGAAAGAGTAAAAGCTCTGGTTGTTGTTTGGTTGCCCGAGCCCAGCGTAGCCGCCCATGTTATACTGGTAATTGGGATCCTGCATCAGTCCCGCGTTGTGGCCAAAACCTTGGAAGTTCTGTTGGTTGTACATTATGAGAAGAACCTTGGCAATGAAGTCTACACGTCTAAGTTCAGGAGTTTGCTGGAGTTGAGTCTACTGATTGCTTGTAGATCCACCAAACATACTCAAAAGTTGCAGAGAAGGAGCAGCTGGTCAATCTGATGCTTAGAGTCCCATACAGTAGATCTTCACTTGCCCCTTTGGGGGAATCTTCACCTGTAGATTAGTAAAAGTCCCATAAAGGTATTGATGCTAGCAGAAAAATAAGGATATCTAACCTTATTTCCAGAAAGTCTCCACTGGTGAACTGTGGTCTTAAGCTGGAGGTCTCTGGAGGTTGACTGTACTGTAGGTCAACTGGTTGCAATTTAATTCATTATGGGGGCTACCCCTACACTTGACTAGGCAAGAGGCCCCGCCTTCCCCTAACTTATGCTAATTAGCCTTCCAGGTGGGGTGATTGGGCCAATAAAACAAAAAAGGCTCTCCAATGACCATGAACAGGGCTAAGTTGAAGCAAAAACATGGAACTAACAAGTAGGAAAAAATGTAACTTGTATTTAGGGGTTATGATCAGGTATGGATGTTTAGGACCCCCAGCCTAGAACTATTAGCAAGCCAACAAACCTGAAGTGTAATTTGTCTGGCTTGTACATGATTTCACATATACATAGGAATACAGACTCTCACAGAGGCATATGAATATTCAGCAGCTCTGTTTTACACACTACAGCTCCTAAATTCTAAGTCATCAGTCTAAACATTTCCTAAACATTAGAGGTTATAAAAGCTATTGAGTGTGGATAATGAGGCAGGGGAGCTCTGACCTGTGCCAAAATAGGCATATGAAAAACTCACATCAACCTGCTAATGTCAATAACATCATCATTATCCACACTATAGATAATAGACAAAAGGCAGGTGTGCAACAGAAAGTCAGATAGTTATGTTACGGTTTTATTTAATACTGACACTTTTATAGTATTACTTTTCATTAAAACACACAAATCAGTCTCTGCCCTGAAGGAGCTTCCACTATGATGCCCCAACCATTTATAGGCACACAATGTAGTGCTAGCTTCAGTGAAAGCCTATTAACATAGTAATATATTTTTGGAATGTTCAAGAAAACCATGGCTCCAGGATTTAACCCACAAACCAGTGGGGAAAAAACTCCACTAATATTCTAAGCTAGCTGGTATTTTTTACCCAGTCCTTTTTTTGTTTTCTCAAGATAGCAGCTATGCTTGTTGGAGAGAGGTCTCACAGTGGTAAATATGTAAATATAGCCATAGACACTAGGTAGTGGCATACTTGCCTCTATAATTCACTACTAAACATTATTGTTTGAAGACCTGAGCATACATATAACATTTAGTGATCAAATCCTAATGGTGGCTTGCTGGTATCAAGTGAAAATGTAAAAAGGTCCTTTTGAAGACCTTTCCAGTTCACTTCTCCTTACCCCTTGTTCCATGTTACAGTTCTCACCAACATTATGAGTCCCTCACCCATCTCTGGTGGTAGGGAATAGACAGAGAGGTAGGATGTTTTATATTAATGATGGGCCATGTTTCTATGACAGAGTTGTGCTAATTTGGACTTATTAAAGTCTGTTTTCCCGTTCTGTTGGTGACCTCAAATGGGGCAGGGGGCTGACACTGTGAAAGGAACATGGGCAGAAGGGATAATAAGGGCTTTACATGGGCAGCACAGTGGCTAAATGGTTAGCACTTCCACCTGGCAGTACTAGGGTCGCTGGTTTGAATCCTGACCATGGCACCACCTGCTTGGAGTTTGCATGTTCTCCCTGTGACTGCATGGGTTTCCTCTGGGTACTCCGGTTTCCTCCCACACTCCAAAGACATGCTGGTAGGTTAATTGGCTCCTGTCTAAAATTGGCCCTAGTGTGTTTATGTATGAATGTAAGTTAGGGACTTTACATTGTACACCCTTTGAGGGTTAGGGACTGATGTGAATGTACAATATATATGTAAATTGACAGCGCTATATAAGTACCTGATATAAATAAATAATACACATAAAGTGACCAAGTAAGGGTTGGAAAAGACACTAAAGAAAACTGGCTTGCCTGGTGGAGTAAATTAACTTTGGATCAGCTGTATGTGATGCAAATTTGGAAATCATTTCTCTTGTTATTACGATTACACATATTTTCCAAGTGTGTGTCTAAGTACTTGTAGATGTAGATAGCCCTCATCAAGGGAACAAATAAAATGGAATATGCAGCATCTCTTTGCTTTCATGCTGGAGTCCTATGCTGCATGGGAGACTGACCAACATGGGGATTACCTAAGCATGCTTGTTTTTCATTATAGAGGCTGCAGAGCAAAGATTTAAGGAAAATGTTTGGCTGGGAAAAACCATAATATCCCCATCCTTCCTCTAATTAGTTGAGCCAAGGGTATATGCAGAAGTAGAGTGCACTTATAGTGTTTCTACCTGCTTGTAAGCATTAGTCCAAAATTCCAAATATTTATGTGTCCATCATTTTGTACTATGTTCAGGTAGTGATCACATATTCCAATTGGCATGGAGTCTCCAGCTCCCATTTGTTGTCTTTAGATGTTGAAAGCCCAGGGCTAGACATGGAAAATCTTATTAGGACCTGATAACAAGAGCCAATCTTGACAAGAGCCCTGCTCTGTGCCATTATTTGTTCAGCTTTCTTTCTTAGGTCACCTGGATAGTGGGGGGGAAGATAAGGGTACGATAATTGGCTTTGGTTTTTGCTATCTGTGAAGACCATGATCATGGCTTCTCCTGGCTCACACTAACCAAGAGGGGGTAAAATAGATTATTAACAGGTTTTCTTTGTTAATGGAGGTCAACTAAACTTATTAAGGCATGTTAAGTGGCCTTAATCATGTTATCACTTCTAGAGTTGTGCTACAAAGACATTTGAAAGGCTATATAATCCTATCCCCTGCAGACTTTTGTAACAATATTTTCTTTATTGTGGTCCTGTCATTTTACCACACGGTGTTGATCTTAATATTTGGAAGACAGATGTGACGGATTCAAGCATTGCTTTAAATAATTAAGCAAAGTGGGGGGTGACTATTGAGTTAGAAGAGAACATGTTCAAATCATAATCACAGTTATGGAGTAAAAAATATACTAATTAATTAAATATGTTAAAGTGTTTTATATAAATTGTATACTCTGTAATGGCTTAAGCTGAAATAGTGCTTTTAGATGGCTTAATATACACTAGAGATGTCAATGATGATGCTGAAGATTGATTGCCCCTTGTCTTTGGAGTCGAACAAAAGCTGGGGTGGTTGGTGGTAAACTCAAACCAGTGTACTGAGTGCCCAAGCCCTAGGATTTCATAAGGACTGAACTTCAGGCAGGTATAAAAGGATGCCATTTAATTCAGTTGGGTCTTTGTTTAAAATGATTAAAGTATACCTAAAGCCCAAATTGTTTCTTTCAGTTTGGATAGAAGTGGGGATGGGGAATTTTTTTTATGGGATCTGTCTCTCATTAGGAAGAATTTTCTTCACTTCCTGTCCGGTACACTCAACAGGAAGTAACTTAACTTTCCAATGGTGTCACGGTAACAAGTGTCCCCATTGGAAAATTTCCCATCTTTTCCCGTTCTGCTGAAAACGCAAAATTTTGGATTACCTTCACTTTCATTTTCCAGGAACATTGGTGATCAGGACATTAGAGGGTGAGTCTACCTAATGGGAACACACAGCATTAAAAACCTGAAATTGATTCCAAATCTCAGCAAAAGACAGAGAGGGAAAGACAGCACAGGGAGCCAATGAAGGCTTTATGGCTATGCATTTGTTCGATCAGGAAGCCTGCAGGCAGGAGGGAACAGAGTGAGCAAAACCAATGATTATTCAGTGTGTTTCTGCTCCTTCAGTTTCCATTTAGCAGCCTGGGGATGGGTAGGTGATACTGCTGTCTCCATTAACTGTAACTGAGAAAGGGGAGTCAACCTCCTTGTGTATTATTGACAGAGATGTATGAATCACAAAAGTGGCTGGTCAGAACGTAAACACTTTGGCAGACAAGTGGGCACATATATGTGTATTTCGATGTTTGCAGGGAGCTTAGTGTTAAAATGAGATGCAAAAGTGTTTTGAGTGCAACACATTGCTTTGTAGCACCTTGCTGGAAGAAGCACTTGAGCATCAAATAGTCTTCTAGATACATCAGTGGATTCATGTTGCTTGAAGTAGCTCTGGTTGAGTAGCTCTTTCCACCTGTCTTTGGAGGAGTTGATTGCCTTGTGCAGGATACAACAGGGGGGCTCAGCTGGTAATAGACACTTCTTCTGCCACAGCAGGGGGCCAAGAACCAGAGAGCCTCAATGCACAATAACTATATCACTTTGATTCATTGTTACCTGACCCTCCTTCCACCCCCCTCCATGTTGACTCTCCACCACAGGATACTACCCAAAACAAGACACAAAACTGCTTGAAACTAGATTAGCCAGATTCCAACCAGTTTTCTCTATTCAGAACTCACAGCAATGGCCCCAACCTGTAACTTTGAACCTGCAGATGTGGACTGCTTAGTCTTCAGTATGGACAGTTGTTATGCTAAAGGGTTGTGACATCTTTTAGATGCATAAATGTAAATGTGGCCACAATAATTAGGTATCCATATTGACCAATCACTACTGCAAATTATCATTGTACAAACATGCATGTTGGAAATTGAGTGGATATTCATGTCTGGGCCTATGGAGAGGGTAGGAGGTGCACAGTGCATTATCACTGAAGAAAACTACAGTGATCTTCCAGGAATATCCAACCCAACCATCTGATTCTTACCCTGATAGGCTTGGGCATCCTGGAAGGTCTACAGACATACCAGTGTTCTCTGATCTATGACTCCAGTTTGGTGTTTAAAGATTTCTGTAGGACTGGAAAACTGTCAGGCCACACCCAAATATACTCTTGTATAATTATTAATTAAAATGATTTGTTATTAAAATGTATCTAAGCCAAAACTATTCTTATTTTTAGTTTGGGATAAAGCAA